GGAAGCCCCAAGATTCCATTTTATTGTCTGAAAAATGAAGAAGCTGGTAGAGACGATCTTTGAAGTTCCTTCCCTCCTTCAAATTCTATGATTATAAATGACGTAGATTTTCTCAATTATACCATCCACATAGTAAAAATTCAGTTAAAAAGAAATAAAAATATAAAAATCCTCAAACCAACGGATACTTTAGTACCATATAGGAAACTTTCAATGATGGAGTGGCTTAAATACATAATAATTAATGACTTGAACATAATTAATGACTTGAACTAAAAATCAATCAATTAATCTAAACTAAGTGTGTAGAATTTAAAGGGAAATCATCAATATGACTTTCCCTGAGCCCTGAAATATTTGAAGCCTTTGAAGATGAAAACAAAGTCAAGATTTAGAGATAATACCCATAAGGTCTTTGAGCCAAATTGAATGGTCATGCAAAAAGCATTTACACCCTCTCCATGAAGTTTTTCCTTGAGTTATTCCGCTTTCTTTGAAATCTTCCATCCCTAAACTATCTGCTTTGTTACAACACTCCAGATCGCCATTTTCTCTTTTCTTTAAACTCTAATAGCAACTAAACCCTGTTCTACTAACTTTGAAGCTAATCCGTTTTATGTGACATTGGTAGGTTTTCAAAATCCTTCTTTGCCTCCCAGATAGACTAAACTCTTAGTAAACAGCAACTATATCTCTGACTTCCCTAGTTATTCCTATCACAGGTTTCCATTTCATTGTTACCTAATGCAGTCTAGTGGCCCCACTGCAGCATCAAAACATTAATAATCAATGGTTACATTGAGAGAGAGAGAGGGGGGAACTAAAAAGTAGAAATGACTCTCCTTTTACTCAGTTGTTCACTAGGTCTTCTAATGTATTCTGTATTCAACCTCTTTATTTTCTCACACCCTCACACCTTATCTTAGGCCTTCATCTTTTGATACTTGGGCTTTTTAAAGCTTCCTAATTATTTTCTGTCTCTACCTCTTCCTGCTAATCCCATTAAAACGTAATCTAGCCTTTCAAGACCCAAATCAAATTTCCTATATTTTTTGTAGTCTTGCTAGACCACTCACTCCAAAATGGCTTGTCTTCCTTGGAACCAATTTTCCCTTTTTATCTTTCTTATTCAGAAATTAGCTGAATATGATATGATAACACTTGTATTTTCCCACATAGTATATTTTTAATCTTGAACATTTTTTACGTATCTCTGTAACAAGATGGTAAGCCTAGGAAGTTCCCTTAATATAGTATATATTTGTTGATTTGATGCATTAACTTGACAGGAATAAAATGAATATTTGACCTTGTACAGAATAAATAACATCTTTTTGGCATTTTGTGGTAGACAAATGAAGTCAATGGTTTATCTTCGAAGGTAACTGTGGTTTATCTGGAGAAATCTTTAGTCCGGGCTAGTAAAATAATGTTAGGTTTTGTGGATTAACATCATGAGAAGACGAAGTCTATGTTTGTTGAGAAAGAAAATTTTGTAATTTTCTGTAACTGTAATTAAGAGCAAATCAGGGATTCATGATGCATTATATTCTAGAGCTTTAACTGATAAGCACCAAGAAATGGCTTTCTCGACTTTAAATGGTTTGCAAAATATTATTTCTATACTTTGCTCCATGCACAGAAAATAATGAAAACTGGGTCTGCTATTCAGAAAATTCAATATTTATTCTAACACGTGAACTGTTGAGTTATGAGAATATTTCATACACTCCAGAAGAGCATAAAATCTACCTCTACTAATTAGTTTCTCTATGAAAGTCTTCCAGACAATTACAGGCTAATACCACTGGTCAATGCTTTAGGTAATTTTCATTAAAGGTATAGTGTTGCTGCCAGATGAATTGCTTCATATAAAAGCACTTACCATAAAATCCTACAATGGAAGGTTAAGTGCTATACTTAATTACTAATTTCAATCCCTATTACCTATATTTTGCAGTGCAGGCACTTAAAAAGGAACCAAATATAGTCTGTTGGTTTCCACTTTCCTGATTACAGGATTTAGTGGTAAAAGCATTAGTCCATCTGTTTTTGAATAATAACAACAACAAAAAAAACTTTTAAAATAAAAATAGTCATACCACAAACCAATATAAAAGAGATATGCTAGACATTTCTATTGAGCTCATACATAAGATCACTTTGTTCTAAAAACTTTAATCTAGATGACGCATACTTGTAAATTTGTATTCAGTCTTCATGGCATTGTAGCAGATGAAGCTGAGAGAAAAAGGTATTTGAAATTTTCATGGCTTATATCCTACCTCAACAACATGCTGAAATGCACACAGAGCAGATGATTAATAAAATGCTTGATGACAACCACGGTGACTCCCCTGAGTTCTTTACACATTGATCGTTAACTTTTTATATGTATAGATCGAAATTCCTCACAGCTGTTCTAATTTTCTCAAGGGCAGATTCTGTGTTTTACCCTTGCTTGTATCCTTCAGAATAACTGCAACTTTGCTCACTTTTGATTTAGTAATAACATTGAAAATACTTTTTGGTGAAAGGACACTCAGACTCCTGGACTAAATATAAAAGGTGGCATCCAAACTGAGTATTGCTGAAGAGTCGTTCCTTAATTATCATGATTTTGCCAGCTTCTGATTTTTAAATATATTTTATATTGTTTCGTATACTGAGCATCCATTTAATTGGTACATAAGACATCATATGTGTTAAACAACTATTAGTCTAGAAAAACATATAGAAATATTTGTTGACTTAGTTAATTAACACTGCTCCAATCTCAGCTAGTGACATTCAAATTGGACATTAGCATACCACAAAAAGACAGGGATCATGTCTTTTTTGGAGTATGCCTAGAATATAGTATCTGGTATGTGCACAGTTAAAGGGTTGTTAGTCAGATAAAATATATTAAAATAGTGAGGTACAGAAATTTTTAAAAACATAAAATATTTATCCAAGCGCATTAGTGCGTTAGAAAACGAGGTTCCGATTATCTGTGCTTGGGAAATGCATACTATATTTCTCTTCTAGAGATTCATTATGGTATTAATATAACAAAATACAAGCATAGATATTTTTAACTTAGTTAACCCAGAATTTCCCAAACTAACTTGAGAGCGGGACTTCCTCTCTCCTCTCATAAGTCACCATTAACATTCTCTAGAATAGGGCACTTAGAGATACTAGTTTGGAAGTGTAAGAGTGAAAAGTTACTAAACTAAGATAATTTTAAAGAATTAACTGGTGAAACAAAGCTAGGCTTCAAGAGGCAACTGCCACACTGTAATAGTAACAGGATTTATCATTCTACATGGTCAGGTTCACTGTTCACGGATGACAACACCCCAGGAGCAGAGTCTAGATCTCATCCTACTTTTTATCTTCAGTGGTGTCCAGTGCAATGACTTCCTCTCAGTAAATAGGTATTGATTAATTTGGATTTTAGGAAATTCACCAGTTTACGTTTCTGTTGTTTCACTAAGGCTGCATTTATCATAAAAATTACATTTCTACTAGGATTCAGTACATGCAATAAGGGATTAGCAGGGGCTATGTAGCACTGCATACATATTTAAGTTACTTTCTTTCCAGATCTTCCATTCCTTAGTCTTATTAAAGTTGGTAACAGAAGGTGTGCATTCTTGTAATTGTAGTTTAAAACCGGGATAATTCCAAGGACATCAATTCAGCAAATATTTATTGAGTGTCTACTATTTGCCAGTATTATAAAAGGCACTGGGCATATTATTAACGTGCTTGCTTCTGAATTTTGTCATAGAGCAGGGTATTTTTTTTATTACATTTAACTCAGCAAATACTTGTAAAGCACCAGATTTATAGAAGAGGTTTGAAATGTGGCTTGAAGATGAAGATGCTGTGAATTATAAAAGGTCCAAAAGGGTATCACAGACATTTCATTCCATAATTGTGCATAAGTAGTACTAAAAAAATTGACCTTTATTTAGTAAGTTAGTTACTTCCTCGAAATATTTCTTTCAAGAAACAAATACTGTAATAGAGAAATTTATATATAAATTTTGGTAATCATTTTTATTGTGCAAAATAAAAATTTCTTTTTATAATCTTTCTTTATACTAATATTTCTTTATCTTTCTATACACAGATAAATGAGACTGATGTTTTTAGTAACCTCTTTTGTACTAAAATATGGAAAGGATAATAATTTCAGTAAAATACCTTTGGACTTTTAATTTGGATTTTACTTTAAAATAGGATTTTAAAAATTGAGAATATATGCAATCACAAGTAACACTGGTTTAAGTTTCTAATCTACTGCCTCTGTTTCAATAACAGTACTGACAAAACTCATTAATGATGAACAGGATAATTTTTATTTTATCAATAATAGCTTGGCATACATTTTATAGACTTGAAATGACTAATACTACTAGTGTCACAGAATCTTTGCGAAACCCCATGGTTATATGATAGTGAAAACAAATTTCATTTACTTACATGTTCTTATAACTGCTGTTTTATGGTACTATATATAGTTCCTTTACTATTTCTCTGTTTGTCCCATGGTCCTCCTGCAGCTTTCATGAGTTTCAGCTATGTACCACCATCCAAGGAACTCTCCTCCTATTTTCTTTCAGAGAAAAATGGTATGATATTCCCTCTCTTAGGTTTAAATTTTAACTTTGTTACTTTTGACAAAGCCTTTCCTTTGTTCAAATGCAAGAATCCAGTTAACAAAGAGCTTTGACATGTTGTGCCTTTATATGTGCATTTTTCTGGTTTCACTGATGTCCCGAATTTTGCAAACGATAACGTGTGCCTTCGAGTTCTCCTATAAAATGCCATTTGTACACTGTATCAAGAACAGTTTAGGACAGCATTACATTCACGACTCTAAAATCTGATAAATACTTGATGGTTTCTCCGAAAACCCCAAATTGGGTGAAACGGATGAAAACAATGCTTCGTTTTCCAGTTTGTTTTTCATAAAATCTTCCCCCGATACACATTCACTGGCTTACCTGCAGGGTAGCGCTCAATCACTGGCCAGCTGTCCACCTGTAACGTGGCATTGCCACCACTCCTCGTGAAACGGACTACATGGTATTTCCCATCGTTAATGATTGCATTGGACTCTTCGATGGCGATGTCATCTGTCCCAACATTAAATTTAACTCCGATTTTTCCTTGATGCTGGAAGGGAGGAGGGGAGTAAAAAGAGTTATATGAAGTTGTGCTGATTCATCATCATTTAATAAGAATTACATACAGGGTATTGCTCAAAAACACGCTTCAGAACGACAGCTGCTTTCCTCCGATTTTACTTCTGAAAAGCTCCGGCAAGGTTCTTGACATTTGGATAAATATGAAGCTTCTCTTTCATGGATAACTGATATTCCAAAAGACACGCTTTCAAGAGAATTGAGCTGCCTTCTTCCCAGAGGCTGCCACAGACAAGGCACACAGCTGCCTGTGTTAAAGGATATACTTTCATGTTCTTTAACATAGCTCCTTTAATCCACGCCTTCCATTTCACAAGAAAAATGAGGCTTGAGATTCTCCCTTTTAATAACTGGTGAAATCAGAGCAATGAAGTCTATTTCTAAATACAAAGTGGACAAAAGCTCACAATACAGAAAGACACTCTACAGGGTATGGGCACACAGACAGGCATTTAATGAGTACAATCATTATTCACACAAAAAAATCATCATATGCTAAGAATCTGGAATTCACTGAATTTCTTTATTTTGCAGATGATGAGACTATGACACAGGAAGGTGCAATGAGTTGTTCAAGGTTATATAACTAAATAGAGGGGTGCCAGAGTTAGAATTCAGTTCCCTCATTCTTCATTTATACCTAAGCTAAGATGAAGTTAAGATATGGGTATCTAAAAGTAACTACCTCTCTGAATTATGCAAAGCAACATTCTAAGTGCAAAGCTTGTGGCTGTTAACTTTATAATTTCATAATACAAGGCAGCAAAGAGAAACATGTGCTTATGTCCCCTGGCTTTGAGAAGCCTTCTCTAACAGCAGGGCTGTCAACTCTACCATAAGTTCAGTTGGTTTTTAAAGCATGTGGATTTGCCCTTAATCAGTAGCACAGAATACTTGCACTGTGGGCCCTTGTCAGAGTACATAACCTCAAACTGTCTGCAGCTCACCTTTTATCAAACCTCAGTTGAGAGGAAGGACATGGGGGAAAAGGGATATAAAGGACATATAGTCCATCCATTCCTGCAGAAATTTAAAATCAGAAACCAGAAGATTTGGACCACATCCTCTTGACCTCTTGCTGGTTTCTCATCATTGAACTAAGCAGCAAGAGCACGGCATGAGTTTACACTGAGGGTTATTGTAAAAGAAAAAAATCTTGTGTAACACTGCATTAATTGAAGGGAAGTATTTGAAGATGTTGTTTGGGACACTGATCTTGTCACTGTCCCCTTCTATATTTCTTCTTCCTGGTTCTTAGTGTCCATAAAAGATCTCTTTCTTATAACAGGTTAGTATGGTTTTTATTTTTTTGTGTTTTGATTTGTTTTGGGCTTGATGAACAATATGACTTGAAATCACATTTCCTTTCTGACTGGTTATTAGGAAACTCAGAGTCAAAGTGAGTAGGGAAATTTTACAAGTTGCATAGACCCCTGCTATACTGTTTTTCCCTGGGCTTATTTTTATTTTCTACCGTATTTCTCAAGATCCTTATTTTTAAATATATGCCATTGTAAGGCATTTCGGTTTTTGGTAGATTGATTCAGATGACAACTAAACAACAGGATTCCAATAAACACTAACCTCTTATCCAAGAGCCTATAAAGACATTTTTAGACATCTTTTTAGCATAGGTCTTCGGTGCAAGCACTCATTATTTTTTCACTTTGGTAGAATTCCTATTTGCTCATTTCCAGTAAAATATTTAACATGGCATATTTATATTTTAACACATATGTGATATAACTCCACAGGAAATTTTTTAAGAATCTTATTTAAGAGGTTTATTATCTTTATTTAAACAACACTTCTATAGTGTTCTGAGCACTTTACAAATACTAACTCTGGTATTTCTCCTAACAGCCCCAGGAAAGAGGTACTATTTTATCTGCATTTGACATATGAGGAAACTGAAGCACAGAGTGACTAAGTAACTTGGCTAAGGTCATGCAGCTAGAAAGAGAAAAGCTGTGATTCAAACCCAGCCAGTTGGGCTCCAGAGGTTGAGTTCCCACTCATGACACTAGGCTGAATGTTAGTAATATTGGGTCATCCTCTAGCTGCAGTTAGCAGATTTGGTAAATCTGGTTGTTCTTTGTTACCTGTTTCATCTTTCTGGTTAGCACCACGGAGCCTCTTATTATGCTTTGCAGACTGTGTGTATCAATCAATGCGTGCTTAAAATAATTTTATAGAGGACAGTGAGCAACTGATATGTGGACATAATAGGATGCTAAAATGGACTCTTTTTGTCTCAGTTTCAGCTGCAATCCTGAGATACCAATAAGTAAAAAGCAAACAAACAAACAAACACAGATTTCTACTTCCATTTTACAAAATGAGGTACAAGATTGCCTAAGCCAGACTTGCAAAGAAGAGCACTGAAAACTGCTTTTGAGACCCTGAATTAATAACCTATTTGCAGCCCATTAAAGAGGCAAGAAAGACCAAGAAGCGAATGGTAATTAGAAGAGGATTTTTGAATGTGATGTGATTTGCATGTACCGCCAAGGTAGAAGGTTACTTTCCCCTTATCTTAGGGGTGCACAGGAAAGGGACTTTAATGGAACATCTCAGAAAGTTTGATACTTGTCTCCTGGAACTTGGGGCAGTTGGAGTAATCAGCAACCCCAGTTGCCCTTGCCTGGGATTTGACACTTGCCTGACAAATCTTCAAGGGGAGAGACTGAGACTGGCTGATGCTCTGATGGCAGAGCAAGAAGTTATTACTGCACCAGGGCTCACCTGTACATTAGTTTGTTAGAAGGAACATGTGAGCATTATACATGGACCATGGGTTAGAGAGCCAGCACTGAATTATGTTGTATTCTATCCAAGAGGTCCCCTGGGGAGAGAGGTGGTGAGTAGTTAAGACAACTCAAGAGAAAGAACCTGGAGTTGCAGTGATGGGTGCCCAGGGACTGAGGCGGAAATCCTAAATGACCATCTGAAGGATGTGGTTAAGAGAACTAAAGAAAGCCCACCAAAATGCCCCCCAAGAGTGCCCCTCAGTGTCAATCTTAAGCATGGGCTAAGCACAGCTAGACAGTTACTATTGTATTAGCCAAGTAAGATCATTTCTGCCCCTTATCTCCTCTTCTCCTGCTTCATCCCTGGAGGAGTCAAGGAGAAGAAGAGTAAACATCGTGTAAACAAGAGGAGAAACAACCCTGCTCCCTCACCCAGGGCAAGTGGCAGCTCTAAGGCAGCCCAAGCAGGGGTAAAGGGGTAAGGGACTGGCTTTAACTGAAGTTGTATTTATTATTACAAAGGAGTAAGCTGAAATTACTTATGTCTAAACATGAACAGATGATTTTTTTTTATTATCTAAAAATGACCAAGGTAGTGTTGAGACATTTCCTAGACTTTACTGGGGTCAGGAAGAAATATTTGACAGAACAGGTTTAAATTCCTGTTGCAACCTAGGAATCAGCTCTTTCGCCATAACAAGTACATGGAGATATTTGTTACTCTAGAGCTGATTGTTTCACTGTCTCTTCTATTACAGTCATGCATCTTATCCCAGGATAGATGGAAAGAAATTCTTCAAGTTTCCTACTTGTTCTGATCGGAAGGCTATAGTAGGCTATTTTCATCAGAGTTCTAATCAGTAAGGAGATTCAAGTTCTGTGAATAGATGCATTACAATGCTAAAGATACAAAATGCACCAAACTCTGAAAAAGAGTCTTTTACCTTATCTGGAAATGTTTCTGCAATATGAAATGTAAAATGCTTATTTTCTAGGGTAAAGAAATGCCCAGATTTCTCAGGGATTCATTTCTTGCAACACAGTAAAACAAACTATTAAGAAACAGTGAGAATTGCTGATACTTGGAAAGCTTCTGACTTTTAAATGATGCCCATCTTTCCCTGCATATGTTGATTCTTCAACTTCCAACATCTTTAACATCTCATGGATTCAAACTCCAGAGTCAGCTAGACCAGAAATGAATACCACCAAAGTAGGCTCAGACAACAGACTGTACCCTAACTCAGACATTATTTACCCCACCCCAGGTTGCATCAAGTCCTTGAAAAATAACTTAAGCATAAATAATAGCCAATGGGCCAATTTTTTTTCCCTAAAAACAAATAAATTAAAAAAGGCATATAAACTATAAAATATTAATATCAAGCATGTTTAAAGGACCAATATTTATAAATCCATTCAGAAACTGTAAATATTCTCAAAACACATCCCTCCCATATTGACAGGATAGCAAGTCATTTCAATTATATAAACAAAACTTGCTAAACTTTCTTGCCAATAGATAATTACAATTTAAAAGAATTCATTTCAAATTCTTATTCTCTGGGATTAAATGTGACTGTCCCTGGCAAATTCTCATGACATTGCATTAGCAAAACCAGCAGTAATTTCACTGGACATGTACTGATTTTTCAACTTTGTGTCTTCCTTGAAATAGATAACTGGCTCACACCATAATTTCAAAAATCTATTATGAGAATATCAGTAACGAGGCATTTATAATTTAATGAAGTCTTTCCATGGATTCATTAAATAAATAGTGACAAAGGTAATTACTGATTTTTTCACAAAAGCTCATTTCAGAATAAGGATTATATTATTAGACCAAGTTAAAAGGAAAAATGAAAGATGACACCGGAAAGGAACTTGAAAGCTTTAGCAAGTGACACCATAGTTAATGCATCTCTTAATTCCATCTGTAATCACATATTCATTGGAAAAATATTTGTTTTAACAAAGATCAAGATTTAATGGTATACTCAATATCTTGGGCATACTTCAAGTAGGATGTTTGTGTGTTATAGATGCGGATATATTTCAATCTATATGCATTCGAAACAGATAAAACAGAATACACATATATAAAGCTTTAGCTTGTGTATGGCATGCCCATATGTCCACTGCTTCTTTCCCCTACTCTGGGGTTGTTATGAAGAAGCATTTGGCTCAACTATGTCCAGGAAAACAGAAAAAAGTGAAA